GAGTTCAGTTCTCTGTTGGACATGATGGCTCACATGCCTTACTTGTTGCTGAGGATGGAAGCATATTCTTCACAGGTTCTGCTAGTAAAGGAGAGGATGGCGAATCGAGTATGTATTATGCTTGCTTGATCTATGGTTGATAAAAGCCTATTAACCAGCTTACAATTTGGAAAGAAGATTTTAAGTGTTTTTCAAGAACATGGAGGCATGCCATTGGGTTTGAATTTTGCGGCAGCCACAGGCCCTCCCAGCCAGTGCCCCTGCCTCCCCCAGCTGGAGATACTGATCTCGGTTCTATCACAGTTTGGATTGTGTGGTGGGAGCACTATTTTAGAGCTGTTCTGAGAAAAATCAAGTTTGTTCAAGAGTCCGTGCTGTCTGCCTGGGACTCTTTCTGAAAAATGGAAGAGCCAAACTTTTCCCTCTTGACTGTTGTTTCAAAGAACTTTGGAAATGGGTGTTTTGCCAGCTGATGTCTCTGCATAATGGAGAGGTACATTGATTAGAAATTGTAGAAGCACAGTCTCCAGTACTTGATCAAGCAGAACTCTTCAGACATTAGACAGATTAATTTGATCTTCAGACTAACAAATGCCTCTTCAATATAATATTAATAGTTTTCCTAGTTTTGATCTCTACAGTTGTGTGTTTAGGTTGAAATACACTTTATAAGAGAATGAAAGATGGCTGTAGGTGCCCTAAAGATGCGCTCTGCTGTGATATTTAATTAAATATTTCACTTCAAGAAACAAACTGCTGTGGTAGATTAATGCTAAAAAAAGGTAAAGAATGTGTTTTGATGAATACCTATCTCCTGACGGTCTTAAAACTAAGGTGATTTTTGTGAGTTGTCAGCCTTATGATGTTTACATTTTAATAGTATAATGTAACGTATGTTTCATAGATAGCATTTTCATATAGTATTGTAAGCCTAACTCAAATTCAGATTAATCTCTCAACAATGTTCTGTTTTGGTAGTGTAGTTTGATGTTACTGTTAATATATTTTTCACAAAGAAGGTGTGAGAAAAAGTTTTTTTTTTTAGCCATAAAATTTAAACACAGCTTTAATAAGACTGAAATTTTTGTGCCTTGATGCAGTCAGTTAGAAACATGGTCAATAACACTCAAATGTTTGTATAAAATTCAAGTCTATAGGTAGTAGTAAACGGTTAGAATTAAAAAACTTACTTAAAATGGAAATTTTAAATAGATTTAAAATCTTGATAAACAGCAGCGGTGGAGTCCAGCTATGCCTCAATCAACTGTGCAGGAATTTTACCTCTCAAGAAAGTTAACAAAATCTCAGTGGGCTGCATATGTGAAGTATGGCATAGCTCATGCAGAAACAAAGCATATTTAACTCATTGTTCTGATGAAAGATTAACCACACTGCCAGTATTCTGCAAGAATGTATGGGTTTTCCTATGTGATATAACTAAAATACAGGCAAGAACATACTTTAAGTTTTGGCAATGTATATGGAGTAGATTCTTAAATGTGTTCGGGGGAGAGGAGGTTAATAGTACTACTCCTGTGCAAAAATCCTGAGAACAAACTTTGTATGTGCTATAGAAACTTTGTAGAGTCTTCTTACACGCAAATCTACTGAAAACTGTGTGAGACAGAATCATACCACTTTGTCCAGGAAATGTAGAGTAAATTTAAGGCACTCAAACAAAAAGATTTCAGATAATGCATTTAAAAGCACAAATTTCAGGATTTCTTTGTGCAGTTATTGGGAAGTTATCCAGAATACAGTGAAACTGATCATTTTTGTTTTATATTTAATTAATCAACAGTTTCAGGTGACACAGAAGTAATTTGCTGTCACTGCTTTAGGTTAAACAAACAAAATTAAAGTGAGGAGATCTAGTGCTTACTGGATCTTCTTACTGAAGAATCTGCTCAAGGATCTGATCAAGGTCTTTCTGAGTTTTTTTAGAAGTTAAACTCTCTTCTGACTAATCTGGTTCCCTTTGTCACTCTCTAATTTGGCTCAGAGTAGATGTGCACAAGTTTTAATTTTTGTCCCTGGTTTCTTTTAAACCTGGGCAGGGAGACTATGTTGCTGTCAGCAGGGTGTGTGTGTGTTCTCTGTAAAAAGTTGGTAGTTGTCAGCAAGTGAAGGCAGCTGGCAGTTTTCTGGCTTAGGCAAAAATTCACAGGCAGTCATAGCAGCTGTTAGTTGTTTTATCCAGTCTTTAGCTGTGTTGTTATTGTTTTGCTTGAGGCCAGATCGCAAACAGTGGTTTTGGGGTGGGGGTTTTTAGTACTTTTTCTTCCCTTTTTTTGACTTGTAGGAGTCTGTTGTAATTCAAAGGTTTTCTAAACGTGTTTTTAATAAATAGAGTATTTAATATTTTTCTTAAGATAAATGAACTTCTGTAACATTTCTTTGTGAACTTATTGTGCATATACTGTAATATATACTCTAAGATGGCAGTGAGGACTTTTTGTACTACGCACTGCTTTGTAAAGTTCAAAAAGTTAATTCGACGTATATATGTAAAAGAAAAAACTTGAAGAATCATTGCTGAAAGATACCTATCTCATCATAACTTTGCTTGCTAATGGATTTTTTGAGAGAATCCAGTGTAATCCAGTAAAAATGGGAGATCATACAAGTAGATTTTTTTTTTTCAGTAGCAGTATGAAAAGTAACCCCTGATTATAAAACCAATGTTATTGTGCCTTTGAAGGTTTTTTTGGTAGAATGACTTGCAATTTATTTATTTATTTCAAGCTAAAAGCAGACGACAGTCAAAACCATATAAGCCTAAAAAAATTATTAAAATGGAAGGAAAGATTGTCATATCTACAGCGTGCAATAATGGAAGTAGTTCTGTAATTTCAAAAGATGGAGAACTCTACATGTTTGGAAAAGATGCCATTTACTCTGATAGCACAAGTAAGTTAATATTTGTCTTTTATGTGATTTCTCAGCTGGCGTAATTGAAATTAGTTTGGAAGTTTTTAGCCTGTGGAAATGATGTTTGTGTGTTTCTTACTCTCCTAATAGATTTCTGAATTTCTGCTGATTCAGCCAAATATGACAGAAGGATAGAAAGAGAAGACAGTTTCTCTAAATTCTGTAAAAATATATGGCACCACTGGTGATAAATACCCAAATGAATGCTTCCACTAAGGAGAGGAAAAAAAAAAAAATCATGTGTTGTATTAATCTGACGCTAGAAGGCCACACAGGGAAAACTCACAGAAATGAGACAAGTTTTGTTATGAATTAAGGCTGCAGGAAACCAGGCCTTACACATTTCTGTGCTCACAAGACAGCATGTCTTGAATTTGCAGGTGGTCCAGTGCCATCTCAGTTTAAATAAAATATTAAACAAATAAACTCCAATCGCGTTATGACTCCTTTAGAATTGTTTTTCAGAACAAGTGATTTTCAGCAGGGTTTGGTTTGATTTTGGCTTTCCTTTGTTTGCAAGACAAATGGTCTAGGCCTAATTCTCCCCTCACTTCTTATTCGAGGACTTGTTTTTTATATCTGCTGGTTTTCTCCCTTGCGGTTAATTTAAAAATTCTGAGTATCCACTAGCAATTCTGTTATATCGCTGAAGTTTCCATCTCAGGTACAAAGTGCAATTTACCACTCAACTGTTTCATGTCTTACAGGTTTAGTAACAGATTTGAAAGGCCATTTTGTGACTCAGGTAGCCATGGGCAAAGCTCACACCTGTGTGTTAATGAAGAATGGAGAAGTTTGGACTTTTGGCGTAAATAATAAAGGACAGTGTGGACGAGACACAGGCTCCATGAGCCAGGGAGGAAAAGGTGTGAGACACCTAGATTTTTCCTTTTGTTGTGTGTGCTGGAAAATACCAGAAGTGAAAACATAGCTAAGCATTTTATTATAAAATATAATTCCACCACTAAAGCTTAAATACATGCAATGTGGTAAAAAAACCCAACAGGTGTGGCTGCTTTCACTTCAACTGTCTGGTATTTGGTGTTCTTCACATACTAATGAACTTAGTTATGCTAAAAAGAGAAAAACCCCAAACCTCAATTATTTTTTTTATCAGTGAAAAAGCTTTTCTTTAAAACAGATTAATAAAACCAAACCTCATCACTGCTTGTCGTACTATCTGCCATTGTCCTAGTAAGAAAAAGTTTCTACCTTTGCTTGTTTGCATTCAGTCTTGAGGCTGTTGTTTGCCTAAACAGGGCATGAATGCGAGTCAACACTCTCTCCATACAACTGACCATTTCCGTTACTCCTAAATAGAGGTATGAAATCTATTCACCTTTGGCAGACTGGAGTATTTGATACGTGGCAAGTAAATGACCTGTTACTTGTATACTGAATATGAATGTTTCATTTCCCTTTTAGTTGTGAAACCTAGATACATACCCTAGAACATGCTCAGAGAGGTTTCAAAAGTGTTGTTGTGCTTGCTGACTATGCAAATCAGGCATGCCTAGTCATTCCTTTTAAAGTCTGATCTGTGAGTTGTTCTTCAGAGCTTTCTCAGTAGCCACTGTTGGGCACAGAAAAAAGCTATTTCTTGTTTCAATATCTTAATTAGGTTTTGGAGTTGAGAACATGGCAACAGCAATGGATGAAGACCTAGAAGAGGAACTGGATGAAAAAGACGAGAAGTCCATGATGTGTCCTCCAGGCATGCATAAATGGAAGCTGGAGCAGTGTATGGTGTGCACTGTATGTGGAGATTGCACAGGCTATGGAGCTAGCTGTGTTAGTAGTGGGCGTCCTGACAGAGTGCCTGGAGGGTAAGCAAACATATGGAAGTACACTTGCTAGAGTGTGTTCAATGGCTAAAGCACCTGTTGAATGTAAAACTGAGCTGATCTGTTCTTAAACTTCAGTCTAAGGTAACGTTATATGTAAAAAGAGTCTATGCTTTTAAAATCAGAAGTAGGTTAAAATTTTTGTGAATAGCTTGTAATGGTTGCAGGTGATTTAAATGCATTTTTTTTACACTTCTTTAGTGTATAGTTCTTTACTAGAAGCTGTTGAATATGAACCCTAATATAATCTGTCTCTTGACAGAGCTGCTGGCTTTGGGATAGCGTTTCTTCATCCTACGATGGAAATTTTTTATCTTGCTGTTCCAGTTGCTGTTATCACTTACTTCAGGGCTGAGCTGCATAAAGGGCCACTGCTTTACATTTGCCTTTACTGTTTCTTCGGCATTGCATGTTCTCATTGTTTCCTTGTTCATGTTTTCATGTGGTGTATACTTAATTAAATCGAGAAAAGTTAATGCTGAGAAGTCAATTCAGATATTTATGGTCAGTGTATACTCTCCGTGCAACAGCAGCTAGGGTTTAAACTACCTATACTTCTGTCTATCTCAGGAAAAATTGCATGTCCACAGAGAGAATAAACTATATAATGTATGATTTAATTACCAAGGCATCAGTAATACATGAAAATAAAAGACAGTGATAAAGCAACTCTGTTTCCTGCAGAATCTGTGGCTGTGGCTCAGGTGAGTCGGGCTGCGCGGTATGTGGCTGCTGCAAGGCGTGTGCTAGAGAACTGGATGGCCAGGAAGCAAGGCAAAGAGGAATCCTTGATGCTGTAAAGGAGATGATACCTTTAGATCTCTTGCTGGGTAAGTGATACAGAATTAGCAAGATGGCTTTTAATTTTCTGTCTTACTGCACCTTTTTTCCTTCAGTACATCTCTGCACTCTTTAATAAACTCAATCACACTGCTGATTTTTGAAACTTGAATCAGAATAACAGGTTAGTTTAGGAATAGATTTGTGCTTTTCAGTTAATATTTCAGTTAGCATTTTGATTATTCTGTATGATAAAACTTTGTATCTTAACTAATGCAGTTCTTTCTTTCCAGTCAAATTACTGAACTTCTGGACTTACAGGACAGTTTTAGTATAATATTGTTAAAATGGATAAAATGATGCTTACCAGGCAGATTTATTTATTGGTGAGGTAGCAAAGTGGGATCGTTCTGGCAAGTGAAATGTTTTACTATAGATGTGTGCCATTGACGTGTGTGGTTATGTTACTAATGCTGATACTAGGAAGTTGTTCTTGTCGTTTTTTGATAGCCTGATTTTTTTTTCTATAATCTTTTTATCAATGTTTTTGAAGTCACATCAAGTATGGGGAATATTGTTTCTTGAAAACCTTTTCTTTTTTCACTTGAAATCTTTAGAGAGAAAGAGCTGCCAGGGATGTGGAAATTACTTTAAAAAAACCCCAAACACCTCCCAGTCCACCTTCCCTCCCCAAAAATACAGGTTAGATGGGGCTCTGAGTGACCTGGTCTAGTTGAAGATGTCCTTGCTCGTTGCAGGGGGATTGGACTAGATGGCCTTTAAAGGTCCTTTCCAACCCAAACTATTTTATGAAAAATACCCACTTTAGGGGAAAAAATACCAACTGGTATGATTATTGGGAAATACAGTTTGGGAGCTTGCCTTGTGAGATCTATTATCACAGCATTTTAAATACTGTATTCTCTGTACTTGCAACTGGGCAATTACAGATTTTTGGAGAACAGGCTTTCCTTCCTTTTTTTTTATATTTAGTTTTACATAGAGCCCTTAACCCTGCATGGATGTGCGGATATAGTATCTGGTATAGAAAAAAACCCAGAAAATAATCAGATGCAAGACTTAAAATATATGGCTCACGAATTTACCGGGGTGGGGAGGGAATAGTAGTAATGGAAAATTATATGCAGTACTTTGAGTGTGGGGTTTTTTTTCCCCAAGTAAAAGTTAAATAAAAACTAGAAGTGGTTCTCTTAATAAGTTGACACTAACCTCACAGTGTAGTCCTAATACTTCCGCATTGATATTTCTAAACGTAATTTGCTTGTATATGGCTATCACAGAGTAGGTTTGTACTGATGGTGAATGTGGCAGTAGCAGCTCTGCTTCACAGCTCATTCACTTGCATGACCAGAGGGGAGTTAAGGTTTCTGTGCTCACCTCTGCTTTGCTAACTCGTCTTCTAGCAGCATAGACAACAGCTCTTGGTCATGTGTTGGGCCTGGCATAGTTTGAGGTAAGGGCGTTGACCACATTTGTCTGGAGAAAAGTGGCAGTGCTTCCAGGTGGAGTTTTAATTTGTTCTTGGGGGCAAGGTATATTTTTTTTAGGTTGTTGGCAATTTGCTGAAAAAACATTGGAAAAAGGTAGTGCTTGTAGTAGTTTTTATTCTTGCGTTCATTCAAGTCAGGTTTCCTGTTTAAAAAAGTGCTTAGCAGTTAGTTTCAAATTCCTAGTAAAATTAGCTAGTTTAAATAAGTCAGATGTACATACACATGTATATGTGCATTAAAGTAACTGCATGCTTCTTAGTAAGCACAGAGCATATAGTGGTAAAGTATTCCTAAACTAAAAAATATCTAATCTTGTTTAAACATTTTTAAAACATGAGCAATTTTATGCCTGTTTTAATAATCTTTGTTAAACTTTTTTGGGGGAAATTGCGATAACCATGGCAACACATAACTAAATATAAATATAAATCTGTATGTGCCTAATAGAAAGTAAGTACTAAATACTATTCAGTGATATTGGAATTGTGGCAGATTTATGAAAACCAGGAAATTCAGAGATAAGGCCTAAAACTCTGCTCCAAATTTACTCAGCTCCTTTATTTCTGAAGTTTGTGTCAGGGCCATGTCAAGAGCAGATAGTAAGTAAGCTTCAGTTTCATTTACTTCTAGGTTTTATTACCATCATAACAATTTTTAAAGATAATTTTACATATTTTGCTTAATCTATGTAGCTGTCCCTGTTCCTGGAGTTAATATTGAAGAACACCTTCAGTTACGGCAAGAAGAAAAGCGGCAACGTGTAAATAGGAGACATAGATTGGAAGAAGGAAGAGGTAAGTGACTTGTTGAGAGGCTTGAATAGTTTAAGCAAACTTCTTAGCCTGTTTTCTAAGAACAGAAATTAATTAGTTTTGCTCCAGTGAGCCAACAGAGTAACCAAACAAAAATAGGAACCTAAATAGCTTATGTTATTTAGCATACTTTTGTAAAACTGTGAAAAATTTGTATATTTAACAAAGTCTGCTCATAAGAATCAGAATTTTAACGGCGAAGAGCAGTATTTTATATCATGTTCATAGTCAATTTTCATTTTTTGCTGTTTCCTAGTTGAATAATAGTTTTTTAATGCCTAGATGCTAATTTTTCTTTATCTGAAGGGTTTATGTGCCTCTGTATGAAGCACTGAAATGACTGCAAGCCTGTCCAGTGCTAGTTATCTATAATATGATTTATTTAATTATTATACATTATTGAATTTCTGCTGGATAATAGCAGAATTTCTTGGTTTATAAAATGAACTTTTCTGTATTTGAATAGTGTGAAAAAATGGACACACTGACTGAATTAATTCCTCACCCCCCCCCAAAAAAAAAAAAAAAAGAAAGAACAAAAAAAACCACAACAAAACCAAACCAAAAACACTTCATTATTTCAGATTTTTCTTGCCTCATGTATTATCTGCCTCAGGAATTATTGTTGATTTTCCACACAAACAGTATACACCTTAGCATGTTTTCAGTACTCGTTTTGAAATACCTCAGTGTCTTAATTTGGTAAATAATAAAAGTTGAGAGATTTAGACTGATATGAAGCATAATATTTTAGTGAAGCACGATGATATGGTTGGTAAGATTATTGAGTGTTGAGAAGAGGAACAATTTTATTGGAATGTTGTGCTCTTCAAGTTCTGCTGTGTTAGTAAATGCCATTTTGATTCTCCGTGTAGGAATTGGATACTGGTTTTACTCAGATACAAAATGCGCATTGTGGTCAAACTTAGTTCCGAGACTGCATGTCGGTGAACCTTGTGGGCCAAATTGTGGTTTTATTTCACTTGCATATAAGAAATTACGGGCCTTACCACAAATAAGGAGCAACAAGGAAGAGAAAGCTTGTAGTTTCCTGTGCATGTGGAAAAGGATGGAATATTAATTTTTCTTTGAATATTTGTGGTTAGCTATGAGGTGGAAAGGCAAAGCCTTTTTTCTTCCTTTGTGTAGGTCCTGTTGGAGCTTCATTGCATACTGCTGGCAAATATTAGGCACAGCTAACAATCATTTTTTCTTAAATCTTCATTGAATGCCTGGGTATTATTGAAAGCTGCTCAGCCCAGAATGGTAATGATGACAGAGCTGGGAGGTAAATTTCAGTTGAAGGAGGAGGAATAAAAGCAAACAAAGCAGCAGAGGAACATTTCAATTTGATTTTATTTGTGTGGTTAGAAGTAGAAACAAAGCAGCTTAACCCTTTGGTATGCCATCTGTCTCTTATAAAAAAAAAAAAAGTTGTTTTGCTGGATCTAATAGAATCTTGGGTGATCAGTATCAGGAATGTGTTGTTATTTTTGATTTGATAGGTGTATAGGGACTGTAGCTAAAAGGATATTGCTGGCCCGCTTGTTGCACACACCCATATTATATTGTCTGTCAAGAGAACATTGAAATTTCATACCTATGTGGCTACTGGAGGTAGTGGGTATGTCTAGCTGGAAGGGTCGGAGATTAGTCTCCTGTTTCAGTTCAGAATGACTTATGTAATAAAGCTGGGAATAGTTTCACAAATACTTAGAGATCTTGATTTACATAATCAGGTATGAAAATGTGATTTGATAATCAATCTTAATTTACATAATTGGATGAAAAAGTTGGAGTTTTGTTGCTTCTCCATCCAAATGCTGCAGTTTTCCATGAGTTGGTGGAAAGAATAGCACCATTCTTGAACTCATAATAGAGAGACCGAGAACATTTAAATAATCTACTAGATTTTCATTTTGCTGTGCAAAAGGTTTTGCAACCTGGAGAAACTTAGTTATGCTAATGTTCAAAATAATAGGCAGATTGCTTAATTTTCCCAAAAAGTTCTAGTATTTCTGCTTATGTAACTGAACAAATCCTTGCTAATGTGATAGCTATTTAGAGATCCACAGAAAGGTTTCAACCGTTCACTTTTCTGAAAACATTGCTTAGTCAATTAAAGGCCAGATGAGCTCTGTTAGGGTCTTCCCTTCAGGTACACAGTGTTTTGTGTGCCAGGATTATGATTTCTGAGTTGTAGTGTGTTAATGTGTGGCTTTTGTTGTTTTATGCCAGATCAGTGAGAAACAAAGCATGTGTAGTTTTTGATAGTCTGGAATAGGATCCATCACTGAATGTTGCTGATCACTCTTTAGTTACAATTGCTGGCCTTTATTCAATGCAAGTATTTTCAGTAGATCTTGAATGTCTTACAAACAAGAAGACTATGAAAGCTTTTTAAGTAAATAAAGGAATATTTCATTCCTAAAACAAGCAAGCAAACAAAAACAAAAAATCACAAAGAAACCTCTCACTTATTTGCCCATTGAATATGTTGAAATAGGAGTAAAGTTTAGGACAGAGATGGAAGAGTACAAGTGCTGGAAGTATACTGGTTTCCACACTGCAGGTTTTTAAGGGGTCTAATTGTTTGTGCTTCTTTACCAGTACTCCAAATTTAGTCCTGTTAGAGTGACCTCTGATTTAAAAATAAGTTCCAGTGATCTACTTGAATTAAAAGAGAAAGTGATTGTTATGCCTGCAGGTACAGCAATCATTTAACTCCTTCACAAGGTCAGTTGTGGGCTCTTGTATGGAAGATGATGACTATGCTCATCTTTATTTGCATTTTTCTGCAAATATAAAGTATGAATTTCAGTATTCTGGGAAGAAGTAGTAGTCATTCATAGCTGCAGTATCAATGACCTAGTTAAATGTTGATATATTTTCAATCAAGACCAGTTAACTCATCTCGCAAACATCTTCCAAGTCAAAATAGCCTGCTACTGTTGTAAGGGACCTGTGTATATGCTGTTCAGCGGCACCACACCGAGTGGTAAGTAATTTCAGAAATTTTAGGTGCTTATGCTGAAGATTTCACTGGGTTTTTTTACCTTGAAATGGCAGGCACAGCCAATTAGATTATATTTGCTATGGTAGAATTGTAACCAGTAAATAATTTGTATGTTTAGAATCAGTTATTCGTGTTGTTTCACTCAAAGAATTTTATTTTAGTGACAAAATAGATCCTTAAAACTAACAGTTGAAGAAAGTGTTTCAGGTTGGGAGAATAAATCTATTATTTAAAGAAACTTAAGAGTATTTTAATATTGGTTATACTTCTCTGCTCTTTTCAGTACAAGAAGTGCATATAGTGTGTTCAGGTGACCAGTTTTGCTTCTTTTCTGTGATGGCGATAGAGCTACTTCACTCAGCTGCTTCTTTCTGCTAGCTTAGTGGTTATCATAAGAGTAGTGAAGAAGGCTCAAAATCAGCTCAACATCTTTGAGTGGTGTATGACCTCTTGAGAAATAAAGCCAGCTGTGTTCACAGCTTCTGTACTAAATCATTATTTCCCAACATAGTTATTGATGGATGTGTCCCAGCTTTTCACTGTCTCTCAGTTCCGGTGAGAAGTGAAGGAGCTGATGCACCACAGAAAGAAACATTTGCGGTTTTTCAAGCTCTCTTAGAACTTGATGGGAGTGGTGGGAAGTGAGCATGGAAGTAGTTGCACTTCATTATTTTCCATGATAATGAGGAGGTTTTGTGTGTTGAAAATAATCTAGCCATGTTCTGAATGTTCTTCCTTTCCTATCAAACAATTTTTTTAGTCTGTGGGGCATTAAATTTTGCCTTAATAGGTTACAGAACTGCCTGGGCCACATTATACAATTAATGTAATGAACCCAAGATTACCATTTACTGCATGAGCTAATCTCAACAGCTGTTCCTGCGACATATTCAGATTGATATTTTTAAGTAATGGAATTTAGAAGTAGTCAAGGATTTCAATTTATCATTTAAAGATAATTGTTTTTTTCAGAAAGCTGTGAGACTGTGCAAATAGCTTTTTAAACAAATTATATTTAAATAGTAAGCTAAAAACCACAGAAATAACTTTTAATATGGTGAGAATAAATGGTCTCATGGTTCACTGGTATTTCACTACTCCTCTTTTTCAGGCTATAATGTAAAAACCTTTAGATGATCATTACTGAGATACAGACTTGGTGTGTAATTAATCAAGACTTGGCTTTTGATGCCCTTACAGAAAGGGAAAATTATTTTCCTTCAGTCATACGTTGAAACAGCAAAAACACGTACAGGAAATTGATTAAATTTAATCAAAACTGTTGTGTATTGAGTTAATATTATCTGAGGCTGCTTGTATTTGGGCAATTTTTTATTTTCCTGAAGTGTAACCAATTCAGTAATTAGTTTTGCTGTGGCAAGCTGAGTATCATGTAAATCTGTTTAACATTGCCCCGAGCCACTATTGGCTTGGAATCAGTTTGTTAGTAACACTGTTCATTGCTGAACCTAAATATATAGCAAAACTATCAGAGATTCATAGAATGGTTTGGGTTGGAAAGGACCTTAGAGATCATCAAGTTCCAACCCCCCTGCCATGGCCGGGGCCCCCTTCCACTAGACCAGGTTGCTCAAAGCCCCGTCCAACCTGGCCTTGAACACTTCCAGGGAGTGGCATCCACACCTTCTTTGGGCAACCTGTTCCAGTGCCTCACCACCCTCGTAATGAAGCATTTCTTCCTTATATCTGACCTAAATCTACCCTCTTTCACTTTAAAGCCATTATCCCTTGTCCTATCATTTCATGCCCTTGTAAAAAGTCCCTCTCCAGCATTCTTGCAGGCCCCCTTCAGGTAGTGGAAGGCCACAATAAGGTGTCCCTGCAGCCTTCTCCTCTTGAGGCTGAACAACTCCGACTCTCTCAGCCTTTGCTCATAGGAGAGGTGCTCCATCCCTCACATCATTTTTGTGGCCCTCCTCTGGACCCACTCCAACAGCTCCATGTC